AAATCAGTGAAGAAATCACACAAGAGAGCTTGGCAACTCTATAAAGTTCAGAGACTTTACCTACAAGATTACTCCATAATTATCAGTAAACTTGGAGAAGCTCTGGAAAAAAAGAACAATTTAGTATGGCAAACATCACAATTTTCAACAAAGTAAAAAGTGAATTCCAGAAATGTCAATCCCAGTTAAATAAAACTCTAGAGTGAATTCTTTTTATTTTTAAAATATACATCTCAATTATAAGCAATTCTAAAATATAGTGACCTCTCAGATAGCATGGGTTCTCAAAATAATTCATGTTAAATTAATACTATTACCTTTTGTAACTGTTACTATGAAAGAAATAAACAGACATAAATCAAGCACCATCTATTCATTCAAGAGCAAACATTTATTAAACAAATATGTACCAGGCACTAGGCTAGGAGCTTTACATATGATGGCTGTTTATGTAATCCTCGTAACAGTCCTATGAGTGAGATAACCACATTTTATAGATAAGGAGACCACTTGCAGACATATCCTGCAAGATCATGATGGCTATGAAGTGAGAGTCAATTCAAAACCAACTCTAGGACAGTCATGTGGTTCACATCTATAATCTCAGCACTTTGGGAGGCTGAGGGGAGGGTCACTTGAGGCCCTGTGTTCGAGACTAGTCTGGACAATAGAGAGACCCTATCTCTACAAAAAGTTTAAAAAAAAAAAACAGCTGGGCATGGTGGCATGCTCCTGTGGTCCTAGCTAATTGGGAGACTGAGGTGGCAGGATCACTTGAGTTAGGATCACACCACTGCACTCCAGCCTAGGCGACAGTGAGCCCTGTCTCCTAAAAACAAAACAAAACAAAACAAAACAAAAAACCCAAGCCTAACTTCAAAGTCCTGTCTCTTTCCACCACATCATATGGTTTCCTAATAGATCTGAGTACTGCAGAAACAGTGTATCTTGTCTTCTGCAAGCATTTGACAAAGCATCTCATGCCAACTTTTCAGGCATGACGGATGTAGCCATGGTGAAAAGAATTGCAAAACTGGAAAAATTATTTAAATTTTATTAAAAGATTTGTGTCTAATAGGTAGGAGCCCATAGAGATCAGTCTTATGCTTATCTACTTCCATTATCATGAATATGCACAACACTCCATTAATAACTGTGTTTCTCACTCAAGGGGAAAGAGAAGGGGATGGCCTCAGGCTCATACATAATCTGAAAAAGTTCCAGGCTAAGATTCTGCATATCCTTGTGTCACTGGACTATAGCAAAACTTGCTGCAGAGCTTCGTACATGGCCATCTCTCTCTCTCCTTTCTCTTAGTCTTTATCAATGATCTGATGAGAACATTGAAAGTATTCTTACCAAATCTTCAGATGACAAAAGTTTAAAAGTAGCTAATACAGGCCGGGCGCTGTGGCTCACGCCTGTAATCCTAGCTCTTGGGAGGCCGAGGCGGGCGGATTGCTCAAGGTCAGGAGTTCAAAACCAGCCTGAGCAAGAGCGAGACCCCGTCTCTACTATAAATAGAAAGAAATTATTTGGCCAACTGATATATATATAAAAAATTAGCCGGGCATGGTGGCGCATGCCTGTAGTCCCAGCTACCCGGGAGGCTGAGGCAGAAGGATCACTCGAGCCCAGGAGTTTGAGGTTGCTGTGAGCTAGGCTGACGCCACGGCACTCACTCTAGCCTGGGCAACAAAGGGAGACTCTGTCTCAAAAAAAAAAAAAAAAAAAAAAAGTAGCTAATACAGACCATAGGTTCCATACCTTATTCTTCATTCCATGTCCAGGACACAACCCAGTGTCTCACCTACAGAAGCCCAATGAATGTTTTGTGAATTACAGAATCAAGATTTAAAAAGACAGTAACAGGCTTTAACCACTGGAGCAAATCTATCAAGACTAACTTTAACAGGTCAAGTACACTGGGAACAAAAAAAAACCTTAACTACAAAATCAAAGAAAAGAGAATTTGAAGGATATAATGCCTTTTCTGGAAGCAATTAAGACTAAGATGTTTAAGTTGACAGCAAACTCAGTATTAACCACTGTGACAACTACCCAAAAAGCTCATAGAATTTCTTCAACTTCAGTGTTAGAAAAGGATTCTCAGTAGGGGAGGTGACAGTCTGCTCTTCTCTCCTCAGTTTAAACTACATCTGCAATCATTTGTAAAGCACAAGGCATCACACTTTAAGGAAAGGAGGATAATGATTAAACAGTATTTAGAAGAGATGTTGAAATAATGAAAGGATTTAAAATGATGCCACAGGAGATCCAGTTAAAGGAACTAGATGGAGCTGTTCACCCAAGAGAAGACAAGACTCAAGGGAATATGACAGCAATCTTCAACTATCAGAAGGGATGTCACATGACACCAAGATTCACAGGGCAGAATTAGGTAGGGCTGGAAACTACAGGGAAACAGATTTTGGCATTATACACCGAAAAACTTATTGGAAATTTGACCTGTTTAAAAATGATATGGGCGACCTCAGGACATCGTGAGCTTTCCATTTTTTCTATTAGTTCATCTTACCTCCAAGATGTTAAAAAAAAAAAAAGTGGACAATCATTTGACTGAAATGTTAAACAAAAGACTGAAACAGGGAACCATAAACTAACTTAGGTTCCTATCAGTCCTACAATTTTTTGAAATATAAATGCATGAGAGTGTACTTTGCAAAACACAAAGTAGTTTACAAAGAGAGGTACTTTGTTAACAAGAAAAAAAGTGAACTCTTCCTCTCTTATCTTCTGACGCATGATCTATTTGGAAATTAAAATTACATATAGTTATGTCTTAAAAGCATATAAATCAAATTTCTCTGAAAAAATTAAGAAAGATGAGATAAACTGATACCTAAGAGAAAGAATTAGATATAGTGCTGTTACCATTCACTGGTATACAACAAAACCTTTAATTCTGTAATATAATCCAGATACCGATTGTGTGAAAGCTACCTATATAGTTAAAATTAGAATGCTATGTTCTTAATACTGGAGAGCTACCATAACTTTATCCTTTCCTGTGTAGGACTGCAGTGGCTTCTCTCATATATTCAAAAATCTTTAGCCTGCTTTTAGCTTTGAGGATGTTTTAGAAATGTATAATGATAGTGTAATTTTTAAGTTGAAGGGGTAAATAATCTTTTAAAAATAATAATAATCTTTTAAAAAAACATTAAGATCTCAATTACAATAGTTTTCTCTTTTAGATCGTTGCATAAAGGAAACCACCAGAGAGGTTGTTTACCAATATCCAGAGGAAATGTTACTTAATTGCTCAAAATTTTAAGTCAGAAGGGGATTCAATGGGCACCACCATACCAATGACTTATGACAATGACTGTCAGCAAATTACTCCACTTAACTAAGCCTGTTTCCTCACCTGTAAAATGGGGCTAACTACACTTTAGAGGCTGTTATAAAAATCAAGTGACAGAAGGCAAGTAAAATATTCACCACAGTAAGAATTCACTAAATGCTAGCTACTATTATTACTTTACCTAAATGATTTTCTAAATTTCCAAATGATCATAGATATTTAGCCTATGAATTTCCTTGATCTAAATAAAATACAAGGCTCTCACTAGTGACACTCAATAACAAAAACTCATTATTAAATATTGTAACTATTCTTGTTCAAGGATTTTTTTTAATGCAGTTTCCCAACATTCACTTTTTCAGATACGTTTTTCATTGGAGTAAAAACAGAGGAGTAAAAATAGAACATGAAATCAGAACCAGAGCATCTTTGTAAATTCTAGACTCAGTAGTTTAATAATAGCATCAAACATCAAATGTCACAATTAGGAGATTATGCATTCTATTAAATAGCGTCCATGGCCTTGCACACTACACGATCACTAATTAAGATCTATTGTGCAAACTGGGGCAGTAATAATAAAAATAGAGAGCTTACACCCGGCCAGGTTCGAAGTGCTTTTAAGTATAGTTATCCTAACAACCGTATAAGCTAGATACTACTATTATGGCCATTTTAACAGAAGAAACTTAGGCATAGGCAGGTTAAAGTAACTTAACCGAAGATCACACAGCTAGCTAAATGGATGGAGGTGGGACATGAACCTAGACAATTAGGCTCAAAAGTCTAGTAGGTTTTACTGCCTCTGACCAAATTGATAAACTCAGATTAGTAGTATAAATTTCTTCTAACCTATGCAAAACGATTTATTTGGGACAGCAGGGAGACTACAACTCCCTCAGAGGTCTAGCTTCACTCTCAGTCAATGATTACATTTTAACACCGTTCCAATGTAACTGCAGAAGCAAGCCGGCCTTTTATTATATGTAAATAAATAGCAACAGCAGCAGCTAAGTTTTTAGTTTGGGGGCCAATTGTTGGCCGGTATTCACATGACGTTTCACCATGGGTCGACTGACCTAGCAGAATATGAGTGACCCACAAGTCGACACACGCAGGCTGCGATGAAACTGCGTAACCAGCACCGGTAAGCGGTCATTTCAAAAAACCTCCAGAGATGGCTATTTTGCCATTCCAGTTATTCGAAGACAGGACAAAATGGAACTTGCATAATACTTAGTCATCAGTAAGTGCTGAAGTTACATATCAACTAGTTCGCAAATTCAAATCCTCAGCTAAGTTCCTAATTCCGAAAGAAAGAAAAGGGGTAACACTCAGAGACAGTAGGGTTGATGACACCTAATGCCCAAGCGGAAGCGCATCAAAGGGGAAAAACTAGCCCACGGATAGGGACTCCACGACGTGCGCAGCCACCACAGGGAACACTAGGGACTGCTCAGGGCCCATCCACTTCCCTCCCAACAGCCTGTCCTTACGTCTACAGGCTGCCTCGACTCAGCTGAGTCTCCTGGGCGGATCTAGAAAGACAATCCGAAGGCGGAGGTGGGAGACCTGAGATCTGCCAGCCCAGATCCAGGGGACTGGGGCGGCAAAGTCCTCACAGCCCCGGAGGAGTAGGGGCTCTGAGACTCCCGCTCCCCCGGGTCCGCACCTGCAGAGTGGTGATGTGCTTGTCGTTAAACTTGTTCTCGCAGTAGCGCAGCACCAGCGACGTCTTCCCCACGCAGCCTTCCCCCAGCAATACCACCTTGAACGAGTAGGCTCGGCCCGCCGCCGCCGCCCCGCCGCCGCCGGCCGCAGCCATCCCGTCGCTTCCCTGCCGCTCGCGCCCAAGAGTCGCGCCAAGCTCCCCACAGCCGCGACGGGCTCAGCCCCCTCCGGCACCGGCCGCGCCGACCCGGGCGCCGTCTCCACTCCTTCCTCCGGGCGAGGCCTGGAAGGGCCGAGGGAATGTCCGAGAATGAAGGGCCCGAGACACCACGTCAGGCACGGGAGGAAAGACGAAGAGCGCTCCCTCTCCGCCTCCCCTCTAATGGCGTCTCCTTCCTCCTACGTCACACTTCGGGTCACGTGACTGCCGGGCCCGGCCCGGACAGCCCCTGAGACTCGGCCCAGAAGAACGAGCCTGGACGTGGGCGGGGCTTCTGAGACCTCTTCCCGGGGTGGAGTTGGGTGTGAGCGTGGTGCCAATGGGCAGTCTGGGGCAGGGTCGGGCTGCCTGTGGGCCACCGCTGCCATACAGTTGGTGGGAGCCTGAGGGAATAAGGAACCAGTAATTTGTGGCAAATCTAGCTCAGATGAAATGAAGTGCGGAATGTTATCGTTCTTGCCCAGGGGATGTTCACAAGGCCAACGACCTCTCACACCGGGGGTCCCTGTAAGCCAAATCTGCCAACGTGCTTTTGAATCTCTTTCCCTGTGAGGTCCCAAATTATAGCTACTGAACTCTTTTCAGTTCCTGGTCTCCTGCTCTTTCAGGTCTCACTTTAAACCGGAAAGGCTTCTATGACCACCCAATCCTCCCCCACATCCCTCCCCACTAAGTTAGGTATTTTGTGACACCAGTAAACTTTCTTTATCAGCAGTTACCACTCTTCATGGAAATTACTTTGCTAAGTATTTCTGTCTCCTCATTAGGCTGTAGATTTGTTTGGACTGTTTAAGACCTGGCCACCTTTGATTGCCTAACCTCAACTGCCAGGCACATAATAGACACTCTATAAATATTTGAGAAAGAATGGATGGATAATACATCTTAAGCCATTATGCCCTGGCTCCCAGTTTTTCTGTCTTCTGTGAAGCTTCTGACATTCAATGTTAACTCCACCTTAATGAGCTTCGCTTGTTTGATGATTATTTTTTCCTCATCTACTTCTCCTTTCTTTCATGAAATACTCTCTACCAAGAAACCACACTGGTATTCTGAAATTTTGCTGCTAGAAATCTGGTGTCAGTTAGGCAAACATACTTTTTTTTTGTCAGACTTCTTTCACACTTCAAACCAGTTAAAAAAAAAAAAAGGCCATTCATTCAACAAATATTTGAATGTGCCCACAATATGCCAGGCACTGTACTGAACAAGATATGTTGTCCTCACAGAGCTTACATTTTAGCAAGGGGGGGACAGACATAGTCAATTATACAGTGAATGCTTTCATCCTGATGAATCAGTTCAGAGTATTTTGCAAGCTTATATGGGAACCCAACTGGTATAGCATGCTAGAGAAGGCTTCCTGGAGAAAGTTATCTTTAGGTAGGAGGAACTTAGGCAAAATGGAGAGGAAAGCTTTGCAAGGACAGCATGTAAATAGCTTGAGGTAGGAAGGAGCTTCTAATGTTGAGCAACTGGAAGTATGACAAGAATGCAGAGAAAAGAGGAACTCCAAAAGAGACCCTCAGGGAACCCAAGGGTCAATACTGAACATGTCTTTAAGCAAAATGAAGGATTTTAATCAAGGGGACTGACATAATCAAATTTGACTTTTATATATTTTTTTTTTCTGATTTTTTTGAAACAGGATCTCAAAACTAGGACTTACATACATTAGAAGTAGTCCATAAACTCAACCTCATAACCACCACAAAACCTGTGAGGTTGTTCTTCTCCTCTTACAGAAACTGTTAGAGCTATGTGTTACCTCTCTGTGGCAATTTTTCCCATTTGATAGTGTGTTATATGTTCATTGTTAACTTGTATAATTCAGCTGTAGAATTATTCTTGGGATTTTTTGCAGGGGGCTTGTTTTTGGTGCAAAGGAGCTACATGAATTTGCACCCTATCACGCTTCAACCTTCATCACTGTAGTAGGATTGTCTATTATTTGCAGCCCAATATATTCATAATGATGGTATTTCAGATAGTTTTGGAGAATCCAAGATCAAAGGAAATATAGTTGTCCCTTCCTCAATGAAGCCCAAGAAGGTAACAATCTTTCTGAAGCTCACCTGTGTCTAATATAGACCAGGAAGCACAAAGTAGAGAGGACTACATAGAATACCTAGACAGAAAGCCTAGAATAGGCTTACAGAGTTTCCTCAATGCCAGTGCATTGAGAGTCTTCAAATGTTTCTTGTAAGTTGCACAAGACTTTCCTGATTTAAGCATTGAAATTCACATATTTTGGGAAACGCTTCATTCCTGGGCAAACTAGGGTGGTTGGTCACCCTAGTTGAAGAGACTTTGCTGCTGGAACAAGGCAGACACAACAGCATTTGAAGGTTAAGTGGGTTTAAGACTGTGGATAGAGGGTGGATACCAGCATGTTGAGATGATGATAACTGAGATATCCCACCACCTAGCATCTTGGAACTTCATAAATCATCTAAAACATAGATACAACATGGGCAAGATGTGGTGGAGACTCTGAACTGATTAAGATTACCCACATTAAAATTTAGTTTCTGGGCCGGGCGCGGTGGCTCACGCCTGTAATCCTAGCTCTTGGGAGGACAAGGCGGGCGGATTGCTCAAGGTCAGGAGTTCAAAACCAGCCTGAGCAAGAGCGAGACCCCGTCTCTACTATAAATAGAAATAAATTAATTGGCCAACTGATATATATATATAAAAAAAAATTAGCCGGGCATGGTGTGTAAGGCAGAGGAATTTGTAGGACAGAGGAAGGGCAGAGGAATTCTTCCACTTGTCGGGAATTCACTTGGGTGGGGCAATGAGCTAACGGGCAAACCTTTGCTTCTGGTCATTGCTTGCTTGCTACACCGCTGTAAGGGGAATTATGGGATGAGGTCATTGAAGCACAGGCAACTGGCCTATCAGGCAATAGAGGGCAACCAACCCGCCAATTATTTCAAAAGGCAACAGTGGGCAACCAATCATTTTAAAGGTCAACGCATGATCCATGCATAGTCGGCTTGTGTGCAGCTTGTGCACCGTGGGGATAAAAGGCATGCCGTTGTTCCGGTCGGGGTCCTTGCCTGCGAGAGTGGCCACTGCGTTGGTGCTCTGGGGCTTGGACCCTGGCTAGCCAGAAAATAAACCTCCTCTTGTGTGATTGCATCCTCGATGTCTCTGCTTTTCTGTCCGGTGGGGCTGTGGAAGGTCGGTCCCTAACAGGTGGCGCATGCCTGTAGTCCCAAGCTACTCGGGAGGCTGAGGCAGAAGGATCTCTCGAGCCCAAGAGTTTGAGGTTGCTGTGAGCTAGGCTGACGTCACGGCACTCACTCTAGCCTGGACAACAAAGCAAGACTCTGTCTCAAAAAAAAAAAAAAAAAATTTAGTTTCTATTACCCAGTAGAATAGGAGCCAAACAATTTAGTTCAATTATTTTATTTTATTTTTTTATTTTTGAGATGGGGTCTCACTATATTGCCCAGGCTGGTCTTGAACTCCTGGACTCAAGTGATCCTCCCACTTCAACCTTCCAAGTAGCTGGGACTACAGGCATGCGCCACCACACTTAGCTAATTAAAAAAAAGATTTTTTAGACACAAAGTCTCACTATGTTGTCCTGTCTGGTAAGCTCAATTTTAGTAAAGTAAGATTTTTTTCTAAAAAAAACTTCCATGCCTGAATTTGTGGACCATTAGAATGAAAAAAATTGTTTGAATATTGAAGGAGGAATAGGAATCAGACAAGCAAAGCGATAGGTATTCAGATTTCAGGGCAGAGCATACCATTGTTAGGTAGATAGCAAGGCATTCCAGGTCTCCTAGGGATGAAAGTGGGTGCTATGGCCCCACTTGGTCCTGCCCCATCCTAATCTCCCAAGCAACTGCCATACCTGGGGAGGAGGGAATATCCTACGAATTGGCCAATCATAACTTAGCACTCCAGCTTCAAAAGAATGCAGAGGACTCTCTAGCCCACGGGCCAAGCCACATAGGTACCATAGAGTCTGGAAATTGACCTAGAACAACCTGCATTCATAGTAATGCAACTCACAGCTGTCCGATCAAAGTGGTTCCATTGTGCCATCTGAACCACTAGGGGAGATACCAGTCAGGCACTATAAAACAAGATGCAGACATTAACCAAGGTCCTTTTTGCACTCTTCCTTTGTCTCTCCCTTTGCTGCAACAATGGGTCAGGTCATCATCTGTGTCTATATATAATGCTTTGTAAACCTATATCTTGCTCTTGCCCTATAATCCTACCTTCTCCTAAATAAACCTCATTTTCATGCTTGCCTAACTTGGCATATCTGGTCATTCTTCAGCCATAGGCACGCCAGGAACCAATATTTCAGACTAAAACCTGACACCATGGGACAAATAACCAGGGAGGAGATGAGCATAGTTGAAGAACTGAAAGTAGATGAAGCTGGAGTATAGGTTGCAAGTCAGAGGAGTGGTGAGAGATGAATGTAAACAGGTAGATAAGGTCATATAGAACCTTGAAATACATGTTTTATAATAGGAACAATGAGAACTCTCTTAGAGCAGTGTGACACACAGCATGGTCTGCAGAGCAGCAGCAGCTGGAAGCCTGCTAGAAATGCAGATTCTCAGTTTTGCCATTCTTCCAATCCCATTAAATCAGAATTTCTAAAGCAGGATTCAAGAAGAATCTTTGTTTTCACAAGCTCTCCTTATGATTCTTATCCATCATATAGTTTGTCAAGTACTGACTTAGAAGATAGAGTTAACAAGACGTGGGGAGCAATGGTTAGGCAAAGTGAGAGAGATAGGAATCTAACATGAATCCCGCATTTCTGGCTTAGGAAACTGGTAAATGGTGATGACTTTAATTGAAATAGAAAACACAGGAGAAAAAATGAATTTTTTTATTGTACTTTTTTAGTTTTGGACATTTTGATTTTGAAGTGCCTGAGGGATTCCCAAGTAGAAATATCTAGCAGGTAATTGGCTTTTTGGACCAATAGTTTATGAGAAAGATCTGGCCTCAAAACAAGGTCAAGGACATCATCAATGCAGTGAGAGAAGTAGCATCCACAGGAGTAGATGAGGTCACTCTAGTGACAATGTGTGAAGTAAGAGGGACAGAGGGCCCAGGACAGAGCCCTGGAGAACATGGATTTTTAAGGGATGGGAAGAGAAACAGGAGCTGTAAAAGCACACCCAAAGAAATAGAAGGAAAACTAGAATTCAATGTCAAGG